ATTGGCGCCGTCTGTGGGAAGCGGTACGTTAACCATGTTCACACCGCGTTCAAGGCCATCAAAAAATCTGGAGCAGTTTGTTCCACAAAAAAATAATAATGAAAATTACAAGGTCATCCACAAAATTGAAAGAAAAAACTATCAAGATTGAAGCTCCCAAAACGGAGAATTTTTTAGGATTTTATTTGGCATCCATATTGAAGAATCAGCCGTCGCAGGGATTAAAGAAATATGTTTATTAGCAAGCTAAAACAGGCTTTCTTCACATCTTCATGGCTGCTGTCCGTCACTACGAAATTTGTGATATTCAGTGGAGTCCAAATCTTTCTGCTCCTTCAATAGAAGATCAAAGTGAGTTAGGCCCTGGAAAATGATCTGTAAAGTCCTAAGAATGAGATCATCTATGACAATGCTTGAGTCATTAGTGAATAAAATCTCTTTGGCCTTTACACAACCAGAAAGCACTTCCTCATTTTTGCCCGTTCTTTCCAATATCAACACCTTCAAAGCAAGAGCATAGGGAGAATTTGGGTATTTGGAGAGAAGACGCGCGGAGTGCTCGAGGGCGTTCTTGAACTAGCGAGAATCGACGGCATCCCAAATAGGTCGGACCCGCCGCTCCGGAATGTCACCCGCTAACTGAATTTGGACGCCATTCAGGGAAAAGCAGTTCTTGAGAATTCCAATCACTTAACAGGTGCAATTAACGGTACGGGGTTTCGGAGGGATCCGCTGAAAATAAAGGAGCCATACAAGATTCTTTCTGGGGGAAAATTAAAAACACATGTTGCAAACTTCAAAATTAGGTCGGCCGTGGCATTGGACGCTCCACGATAGGATTAAGAGAAAACTGGGAATGTGTTCCCAAACCTTCTAGTGCCAGAAGAATATTTCTAGGACTGTGATATTGGTCCCAACCCCTAACTTTAGCAAATTCTTGAAGCATATCTCTTAGTTCTTGCAAGGAGACATCCTTAACTTTGTTAGGACATTCATAGGAATTCTCCAAGGGGAAGAGGAAATCAAAACTTTGTTCACGAGAACCATTTCTTGATAAGAGTTTCACAGCTTGATGATGCCCAGAAGGTGTTCGACCAAATGCCATGGTCAAGATTTTTTCTCCAATTATGGCTGTTTAGTTAACCGTGGCGCACCGCGACCTCCGGCGATCACTACGACCAGCGGTACATGACCTCGTTTTGTCCGGTGTGTCAACATTATGGTGATGGAGACAAGTCGGTGATGGTGGCGTGCAATTCAAACCAAAACAGTTAGAGGCAAGCTCGTGTTTAACAAAAAAGATGGAAGTTCATAGCTTAATTGGTACCATTTCTCTTCTGACTTGATATGAATTTATTTCATCCACTAAAATAAGTTGAAAAAGATGTAAGTGCTGAGTGGGGTTAATTAATGGGCCTCACCGAATTTGTGTTAAATGATGAACTTGCATTAGCCCTCGTAACCTCTCAAAAATATTTGGGCATGTTGAATCTTTTTATTTTTGACCTCTGGGCCACTATAAATTCTCGCTTCTACATTTCCACTTTATAAAAATAGTTGGGCCCATAGATTTATTTTCTTTTGGCCCATATTTCTTCTAATTATCTTAAAAGTATTTGGGCTTGAGGGTTAGCCCATTTTACTGGCATTAGGTTTTCTTTTTTGAACCATTACAAATGATTATTTGAGTTAATTCATGTGCTTGGTTGAACACGTCCACACATTGTCCAACTCAATTCTTCATCTTTCAAATGCTAATTATGCGATATATTTCTTTGCAAATCAAGCTTACAAAAGGGCGTACAACTTCAATTAAGTCTGATTAGAGGCTAACATAGTTTACTTAAACATTTAATAGCAAAATTAACCAAACTTCTCCTAC